TTTAATTCAAGAAACTGTTAACTCCTTCCTTTTAGTCTTCTCGGGAATTTGATTATCCATTTATTTCTAATTTTTTTTCAAAACTTCGCAGAAACGAGAAAACGTTGCAATTTTGTCAAACACACCAAGCCACTGCACACTAATGGCTGATAGTGTGCAATGGCTCACCAATCAGATTACAGCATTTGCATTAGTATACTAGTAGAATTCTACTAACTTACATTAGAGACTACTCAGATTTTCCCAAATCAGTGATTTTATTCTAGTTCTACAATCACCAGTTTTAGACACGAAAGACGAAAGTAAGAAGAAGAATTAGGAAGGGAAGGTTATTCATAAGGTAGAGGATATCTTAAATAACTGGAAAAACAAGAGATTAACCTCAATTGGTAAAATTGCAGTTATTGAGGCACAGCTTGTTTTTGTTCTGTTGTCAACAACGTCGTGCTCCAAATAGCTGAAGAAACAAATGATATTCTTTTTAGAGGGGGTCAGTTTCTAAAGAAACTGTGGTGCTGCGTCGGTGGGGAGTATAGCAGGATAATTTGGTTTTATCAATTGTGTTGATACTGTTAATTGTTCACCGTAAAGAGATTCGATTACGGTAGCCAATTCACATTATCAACCCAGTTGATCAAACCAAATTATCTTGATATTCTTTTTAAATTACTTTGGAATAACAAGGGCGACAAAATGAAGTGAACTTAAACAAATATATGTTATTGGCCGGCTTGGAGGTCTGTATAGTGAAAAACTGTGACCGAGGTCACAGTTTTTCACTATAAGGACCGACCCTAAGCCGGACAATAACACGTTTATCTTTTTTTCTTGGGGTAAATTGGCTTAGAAGTGGGTTTGTTTTCGCAGCTTTGAAACTGAATTGGCTTACGCGCCGTCTGTAGACTCTGCAAACCATTCGTAAAAAATCTAACGAGCGAAAGGGCGAGTAACTCAGATACTAGACAAAGAAAGATGTATTAAACAACAGATTCATACTGAGCTACTTTATGTTCGTCGCATTTAGTTCACCATTTAAGTTCTCCAAAAGTGTTTTTCCGGTGTGAAATTTCGTGCAAAGT